TCCCACAGTGCCAGGGAGAAAGTAGTCTCCTGATCCTGGCAAGTGACATAATAAATGTATATTGCTTTCAAACCTGTGATATAGTATCCCATGTTTAAAATATTTAAACATGCTTACAGGTGATTCAGAACAGAATACACAATGTGACTTCTAAAAGTTTCCAAGAGCAGGGCACAGTGGGAGGCAGAGGCAGGAGGATCTCTGTGTGTTCAAGGTCAGCCCATCTACAAAGCTAGTACAGGACAGCCAAGGCCAAGACTACACAAAGAATTCCTGTCTACAAAAACAAAACAAAACAAAACAAAAGGTCTCCGTGAAGTGTGAAGTGGACTTTGCCCCTCTCCAGCTTTCTCTTGACCTACTTATATTCTTGGTATATTGAAGTCTGTTAAAAGTTTTCAAATTTTTCTCAGTCAGCCTCTTTTTCCATGTTTTACATGCTTCTCTCCTTTAGGGTCTCAGTGCTACTCCTCAACTAGCAAGCTCAATCATGTGAAATTTAAATATGAATTTTTATGTGAATTGTTTAGTAACATTCTCCTTGATCCGTCAGCTTATAAACCTTCCCCTCCCATCATAGCCTGTGCCTCACAGACTGCTTAGACTAAAATTATAATATATCCGTACAGCTCAGAACTCCAGTCTCCTGTTCTCTTTGGTCTTTTACTTTGGTATAAACCAAAGAATTCCAAATAGCTTCAAAGGGCTGGCATAGTCTTCCCTACTCTTACATCTCTAATACATTTACTTCTACTTTCCCACAGTTTACTGGGCTCTAGCCTGCATCATTTCACCCCATCTCTATTCTCCACCTTGTTTTACCAGAGAGTACAGCTGTTACTTCTGTCTGCAATGCTCTTCCTACAGTAGATGATATACAGCACACACCTCACTTCCTTCTGGTCATTCAAAAAAATAATAATAACAACAAAACAAAACTAATCAAAACAAAAACCTTTCCCTGTTTGTCCTTCTTTGACCATGTATCCATGTAATCTAAATTAATAAACCTCTCTTTCCTAATCGCTTTGCTCCCTAACAGTTACAGTTACATGGTTCTCTGAAGAATAAGGAACACAATCCCACAAAGGGTTTCTTTTCCCCTCAATGTTGTATTAACTGTGCTTACAGCTTTCATTACAGAAAGGGAATGAACACAAAACCACAGATTCTTTGTTCTTCTGAGCCGTTATCTATTTTGTCTTTTTTCTTCTTCAATCCCACAAAACCTCAACCCTTATTTTCCTTATTAGCTGTGTCTTATCCTTAAATACTTAAAAATAGATGATGTTTCTCATGAAACTAATTCTAGCCCATTCACACTGTAAATACATTTAACTAGGACTATTGTGAATGTACTATTAGTTTCAGTTGCTGAACATGAAATCCCCAACATATGAAAGCTTAATTAGTCATGATTTTATCTTCCATGACTAATAAGGACCTGCATTAAAATATGTGGTGTACAGGTATTTGACAAAAGTAATGAACAAGAGAACATATAAGGAAATAAGAGAATCTGTCCTATATGCCTTGTATCCTGTGTTTTCTGGTCCAATTTCAATTTGTTGATCATATTTGTTGGGCGAAGCACTGCAACCTCTTTTAAGGATAGCTATACAAAGGTCATTGCATTTTTTGAAGCTACATGGATGCACTCATCACTAGGGAAACAGTGAGGGGGTAACTTTTGTGTCTAACAATTATATTTCAGAGTTAAAAAAATACTACTCTGGAGAATGGCTAAATTAAAAACAAAACATGAGATAAGGGCATTGTTTCAGTTCAGTGGAGGCTGGGGGATATACAGGAACCTCAGTAATACTTGACTTCCAATGTCATCTATGGAGCACTGATAGCTAAATGTCTACCCTGAATGAATGTCTACATATGAAAATTAGAAGCAAATGAACAAACTAAGCTTTTGAAAGTAAAAAGTGATGCTTCACACTTAAGAATAACTCTTTTCAGAGAAAACTTAAGAAAATATATATGCAAACTTAATATATATGGATTTATAGTCTATAAAATATTTGATGAATTATAAAATTATGAGTAATTTTAAAATAATATTTTTCTTTCAAAACTATTTGCTTTATGAGCCAGCCAGATGGCTCTATGGATAAAAGGGTTTCCTGGGCAAGTTGATGAGCTGAGAATGAGTCTCAGAACCCACAATGGAAGGAGAGAACTCACTTCCAAAACTATTCCTCTGACCAGATATGTATGCCAACGCCTGTGCTCCCCAACCCTTCTGTATGCATAGACAAGTACACACACAGAGAGAGAGAAATTATACCACACAGTAATACATGCAATATTTTTAATGTTTATTCTTTTGGACTCTTCCTCTAAATATTTTCCCACAAGTAAATTATTGACTTTTTTACACAAGTGTTTGCAACAACTGACAGTGCATTTAAAGTGAAAATGTTAGGTGTGTATGCCCTAAATCTATCCCTCATTGGTAAAGCAGCAGAGCATGGAGATGTTGGGCAAAGAGCAACTCCTCCATTACTGATCTGTATCATAAATCTTCACATTAAAATCTATCTTACAGTAGAAGAGAGACCTTTCATGTTATTTAAGTTTCATATTGTAGGTATATTCTCATGCCCTCAACATTATAATGATTTAAACACCTCATTTAACTATTAGCTAGTTCATAAAACATTTAAATAATTGAATATTTCTATTTCTATTGCCTTTCATACTCTTTATTCCATTACTACACACACACACACACACACCCCACACATAATTCAAAAAATGGCATCAATTGATACATGTTAAGAGGAGTACATATGCTCATACATAGTATTTCTAATATTTTAGTTTTCTAAACAGGATATGTAGAGGCCTTTATACTCCTCTTGATTCTTTAAGCTTTATAAACCTGCTCCTAATAAATTATACTCTCTTATTTGGAACACCATGTTCCAGCATCTTTTAAGAGCTTTTTGGTTGTTGTTGGACAGGATTTATCTACTTCCACCTTGTCAATTTTATGAAGGTTCTCAATGTGTCAGCTGGAGACATCCATCCCACATGATGACATACTAGGAGGAGAAGGACATGAGACTGAGTGGTTATGGGAAGAGAAGGCTAAAATAACCAAGTTGTCTTTGGAATTCTTTAATCATAGTTAAAGCTTCAACCTCTTTGTAATATTTTTCACATTGTCATGAGTCTCTATAAACATAGAAATCATAAGTGAGCCTTAAAATTTTTGATTTCTTCTTACAACCTAATGAAAAGCATATCAGGCAGCTAGAGGAGAAATACTGTGCTGTAGGAAGTAAAATCCCACTTCCTAGTGGTGGGAAGTGGGAAATTTAATTGTAATTTTTGCCTTGTTCATTCTTCTGATGATAATAGTCTGAGCTTGTTTACTTACTATGTGAGTGAGTTGCTGTCCAGTAGCTATTATGCAGTAATTTGAACTCCATCATCAGTCCATCTGAGCCTGGGAAGTGGTCAGTGTCAGAGGCTGAGAACCAGCCTTTCCCAGAGCTGAAGGAATCATAGAACCAGGCTGAGCACATGCCTCCCAATAGTCAAAACAGTATTTGTTTGTTTGTTTGTTTGTTTTTCCCTATTAAGAGTGAGTTTAAGGAGAACCTTGCTGGAGAGAAAAAAAAAATTGCACAGCAAGAGAAGCGACACCAACTCTGTACTTTCTACAATAAGATTGTGTTCATTCAGTCTTGATTTGACTTGATATGCTAGAGGCATGGTGCTTTTCTTCATTGAAAAGAAGGGGAGGGGAGAGGGGCAAACAGGGGGAGAGAGTAGGACCAGAAGGAGAGGAGGAAGAAGGCTATGACCAGGATATAAAATAAATAAATAAAAATTAAAATAATGAAAAAGGTGTTCACTGAAAAACCTTAAGAGGAACTGATATCCATTTTGACTTTAAAATAGCTTGAGTCCCCTAGGTCAAAGGAGTGTATCTCCATTAATATTAGAAATTTTATAGGCCTCATTACTAATGTTTAAAATTATGACATTCCCTTATTACCAGAAATTGTGATTTATAAATGACAGCAGTGTAAAAATGTAACTAATTCATGATTTTAGAGAGTAGAGCTCATAGAAATATTCTTTGATATGCTTTATGAAAGGGGAAAACTGCAAGCCCTTTAATTAATAACTTGCCCTAGAAAACCATCTTTATGGAAGAATACAGAAAATACTTGAAGATATCTAATAATAGCCTGACATCCTCTTTTATTTCAAAAGGAATCGTTTGCTATTAATAATGGTAAGCAGGGTTTGAGGACATTTTACGAGTACATTACTCTTTGAACTTGTCAGCTGGCTTTATGTTATAGAGAGGAGGGTGATGAGGTGAACGAAGCTTGCAGGCAAATATAACATTACAGAAGGTGAAGAATCTATGATGCTTCATCAGACAAGCCATTTCATTTTGCCATTGAGTCATGGCAAAGTCATTGCTATCTGAGGAATTATTGCAGACTTTTCATTTGCTATCTTAGGTCTGGCGAAAGTATTTTACATATAAATGTTACTAGCAGCTTGTAACATCATGTCATTCAAGGAAAATGGATAGAGGTGCAAATATGCATCATGTTTTCACCTAAAATTTATAAAATGGATGTATGTTTGAATTTTATCTGCAGTATTGTACATACTATGTTTAGATTTTTTTATTACTTGATATTATTATTAGTGACAATTATTACAGCCACAGACAAGCCATGTTTTTTTTCTCCTCCAACTCTAACATAAACCTATTGCCTGAATTTTCATTGTGGACAAAGCTACCTTGAGGGTAGGTGCTGTGGCTCTTTTGGTTAAGCCTGGTGACCTGAGTTCAATCCCAGGGGTGCTACTTGGTGGTTAAAAAAAAAAAAAAAAAAAACAAGATGGCGGCGGCGCGCGCCTGAGGAGCTGGGGGCGGGGGGGGCGGGACGCCGGCCGGGTCAGGCCTCGGTGCGGCCTACACGCTCGCCCACCCACCCGCCCCTGCCCCGCGCCCCGCCATGGCGGAGCCTTCGCAGGCCCGACGTCCGGTACCGCTCATCGAGTCGGAGCTGTACTTCCTCATCGCCCGCTACCTCTCGGCCGGCCGGTGTTGCCGAGCGGCGCAGGTGCTGGTGCAGGAGCTGGAGCAGTACCAGCTGTTGCCGAAGAGGTTGGACTGGGAGGGCAACGAGCACAGCAGGAGCTACGAGGAATTGGTCTTGTCCAATAAGCATGTGGCCCACGATCACCTGTTGCAAATCTGCCAACGCCTCGGCCCAATGCTGGATAAAGAAATCCCGCCCAGCATTTCAAGAGTCACTTCTTTGCTTGGTGCAGGAAGGCAGTCTTTGCTACGTACTGCAAAAGGTACCTTAGTTTGAAGAAGTGTCTGCTTTGTACTAATAGCTTACGTTATGACTGTGAAGCTGTGTAAGATGGTGGAAGGTAATGATGCAACTAATGCCATGGACTATATGCTCTGCAATTAGTGTAGGTCGAATTTTATCATGTTTAATGGGTCCTTCTGCATTTCAAAAATTGATAAAGACATAGATGTTAAGTAAGATGCTTGAATTTAAGATGTGCTTGAGGTTTTATCAATGTGAGTTCTTAAGTTTTCCACTTTGTAGCTCACTCGTAACTCCAATGGATGTAATTGTATATGTCTATAATAAACTCTTCAAGTACTAGCAAAACAAAACAAAAAAAAAAAAAACAGTTCCTTCAGGTTGTCCTCTAACATCCATGCACTCATTCTATTACATGAGCATACACACACACACATACAGAAATAAAACGATTAAAAAATTCTTCCTACCTTATGAACACAAAACATTAAATAACCAGTACTTTAAATTGCTAGACACAAAATCACAGATATTGGAATATTCAGATAATCTCGGTTCTAAAGGACTGTCTCAACACACAGGTAAAAAACAATTCTGGGCTTGATCCAAGATGGCAGCGACCAGCGCACACCATATCTGAGGGGCAGAGGATCTGAAACTCTGAAATTGGTGAGTGGAGTGGCAGCTGAAACTAGAACATCCACATTGAGGCTTCCTGGGCCAGAGGGGACAAACTGTGAGCAGAGATCATTTGGAACCAGGTCACCTGCATATTTCTCTGGGGACTGAAGGTGGTGAGTATTCAGTCCCCCTATACTTCCCCTTGATGGGCCACCCTCTTGCATCCTCAACAGAGACCTCTGAGTTGGACCATAATGCCCATGGCTCCTAGCACAGAGCACAGTGCTTCAGGGGCTCCTAGGACAGAACTGCCAATTCGATATCTGTAACAAGAAGGCAGACCTCAAGCCCCTCAGTGGTGAGCTGCTAGTTGTATGAGCCACCCAGCTTTGCCAGGCCACCAAGGCCCCAAGTCCTCCCAGAAGACATCTGTACCAGCAGTTCTCCTGCTATGGCTGGACTCAGTGGACCACTAAACAAGCCTTCAAGTTCTGCTGCAGCACCACTGAGTGGACAGATTGGTTACACTCTCATTTGCCTGGGCAGTCCCAAATCTGAGAGTAGAGAACACGGGGGACCCCTGTATTTTCCATTTAGACGTGCTAGAGAGTGAGTGTGCCTACAAGTGAGTGCATACAGAGGGACCAGAGGGACCAGATCCAGGGCCCCTCTATGCTAGCAGCCAGACATCATATCACTCCCATCCACACCCCACTGTGGACAACATAGGGATCCTTGGTACAGCACTCTCAACATTGAAACCCATGTTCTGCGGGTCTTCCAGTGGAGTCCAGACAAACAACTCCTGGAACCCAGACAGATATGAATACCAGAAAGATAGTATGACAGGCCGGTAGGCCACGGAGGTATTCAGGGAATCTGTGCATGCGCATTGCTCCTAAAAACAACACCAGTGCCTGCACTGCCTCCTGTGCATGCATGCACCTACTTGTCCACATTACAAGTATCTAAACTCTCTAGTACCCTGTCCTTCAAGGCATACTTTCATTCAAACATGCACACTTTTTTGCCCACACTTGTTCACCTGCGCTTGTGGACTTTCCTCCGTTAGGTACAGTGGAAACATCAACACATACTCTCAAACCAGTTAACCTCTCTCAACTTCCCAAAGAATACTCCAGACACCAGAAAAAGGCAGACCCAGTCTGAAGTACAGACTCAAGGAGCAAAAGTGAAGGTTATGACTAGGTAAATGGCCAGAGGTGAGAGTAACAACACAACCAACAAAGATGAGGACATCATGGCTTCAAAAGCAATCTCCATAATCAATGATATTTCTATTCATCAGAAACACAGGAAAATGATTTTAAAGCTATGCTTATCTAGTTTTTAGAGGCACATAAAGAAGAAACAAACAAATCTCTCAAAGAAATATAGCCAAACAAATGGAGGCACATAAAGGGGAAATGTACAAATCTCTCAAAGAAATAGCCACCCAAATGGAGGCAAATAAAGAAGAAATGAACAAATCTCTCAAAGAAATACAGGCAAATACAGCCAAACAGAGGCACAAGTAGAGGCACAACTAGTGGCATGTAGAGAGTAAACGAACAATAAAACAGAAGCCAACATAGAAAGACAGGAATCCACATTCAAAGAGATTAAGAAAATGGTGCAAGGCGTTAAAACTGAATTAGAATAAATAAAGAAAACACAAACAGAGAAAACCTTGGAGATGGAGAACTTAGAGAAAAGATCAAGAACCACAAGGTAAGCATCACTTGTAGAATACAAGAGATGGGAGAGAGAATCTCAGGTGCTGAAGATACACTTGCAGAAATTGATACTTCTCTTAAAAAATAAAGTAAAATCAGAAAAGTTCCACACACAAAACATCTAAAAAATCAAGGACACTATGAAAAGAAGAAACCTAAGCTAATAGGAATAGATGAAAAAGAAAATTCTATGCTTCAAGGTCCAGAAAATATTTTCAAGAAAATCATAGAAGAAATGTTTCCAACTTAAAGAAAGAGATGTCCATAAATACACAAGAAGTTTACAGAACACCAAGTAGACTAGACCAGAAAAGAAACTCTTCACATCACAACATAGTCAAAACACTAAATCTACAGAACAAAGAAAAAATATTAAAAGCAGCAAGGGAAAAAGGCCAAGTAACATATAAAGGTATACCGATCAAAATCACACCAGACTTCTCAAAAGAAACTATGAAAACTAGATAGGCCTGGGCAGATGTCATGCAGACTTTAAAAGACCACAGATGCCAGCCCAGACTACTATAACCAGCAAAGCTTTCAACAAACATAGATGGAGAAAAACAAAATATTTTATGACAAAACTAAACTTAAAGATTATCTACACAGCAATCTGGCCCTAGAGAAGATACTTGAAGGAAAATTCCAATCCAATGAAAACAATTACACCAAAGAATGCACAGGATATAGATAACTTCACAACAACAACAACAAAAAAAAATTAAAGAAAACAGTCATTGAAACACATTAACACCACCAACTCCACATTAAAAGGAACTAACATTCACTGGTCACTATTATCTACCAATATGAATGGACTCAACTCTCCAATGAAAAGACACAGACTAACAGAATGGTTGCAGAAAAAGGATCCAACATTCTGCTGCATCCAAGAAACACACCTCTGCAACAAAGATAAACACTACCTCAGAGTAAAGGGTTAGAAAAATGTTTTTCAAACAAATGGACCCAGTAAACAAGTTGGAGTATTTATCCTAATATCTAACAAAATAGACTTTAAACCAAAATTAATCAAAAAAGATGAGGAAGGGCACATCATTCTCATCAAAGGAAAAATCCATCAGGAGGACATTACAATTCTGAACATCTATGCACCAAATACAAGAGCACCTACATTTGTAAATGAAACATTATTAAAGCTTAAATAACACAGCTATCCCAATACCTTAATATTACGAGACTTCAACACTCCACTCTCACCAAGGAACAGATCATCTAGACAGAAGCTATATGGGGAAATAAAGGCACTTACAGAGGGCTTAAATCAAATAGACCTAAAAGATCTCTAAAGAACTTTTTACTCAAATTCAAAAGAGTATAACTTCTTTTCAGCACCTCATGGAACCTTCTCCAAAATAGACCGTATAGTTGGTTAAAAAGCAAACCTCAACAAATACAAGAAGATTGACATAACCCCTTGTATCCTATCTGACTACCATGGACTAAAACTGGACCTCAACAAAAACAGAAATAGCAAAAATTCTGCACACACATGGAAACTGAACAACTCACTACTCAATGAAAATTGGGTTAGGGAAGAAACAAAGAAAGAAATTAAAGCCTTCAAAGAATTCAATGAAAATGAAGGCAGAGCATACCCAAAATTATGGGACACAATGAGAGCAGTGCTAAGAGGAAAATAATAGCACTAAGTGCCTTTAAGTAGAAATTTGAAACATCTTATACAAACAGATTAGGGCTCATCTGAAAGCCCAAGGGGAGGGGGACAGACACACACAAGAGGAGTAGACAACTGCAAATAATCAAACTCAGGGCTGAAATCAATCAATTAGAAACAAATAAAACAATTCAAAGAATCAAAGAAACCAAGAGCTGGTTCTTTGAGAAAAATCAACAAGATAGACAAACCCTTAGCCAAGCTAACTAAAAGACAGAGAGACACCACCCAAATCAAGAAAATCAGAAATTAAAAGGGGGACATAACTACAGACACTGAGGAAATCCAAACAATCATTAGGACTTACTTCAAAAGTCTTTATACCACAAAATTTGAAAATCTAAATGAAATGGACAATTTTCTTGATTGATTTGACTTACCAAAGCTGAATCAGGACCAGGTAAATCAATTAAATAGTCCTATATCCCCCAAGGAAATATAAGCAGTCATCAAAAGTCTCCCATCCAAAAAAAGCCCAGGACCAGATGGTTTTAGCACAAAATTCTACCAGACCTTCAAAGAAGAGCTAACTCCAACTTTCTTCAAACTATTCCACAAAATAGAAACAGAAGGAACATTACCAAATTTATTCTATGAAGCCACAAACAACTTGATACCTAATCCACATAATGAATAAATAAAGAGAACTTCAGACATTTCTCTTTTATGAACATAGATGCAAAAATACTCAATAAAATACTTGCAAACCGAATCCAAGAACACATCAAAGATATCATCCCCATGACTAAGTAGGCTTCATTCAGGGATGCAGGGGTGGTTCAACATACTTAAATCCACCATATAAACAAACTGAAGGAGAAAAGCCATATGATCATCTCCTCAGATGCTGATAAAGCATTTGACAAAATGCAAAACCCATTTATGTTTAAAGACTTGGAGAGATCAGGAATATAAGGCACAAACCTAACCAGAGTAAAGACGATATTCAGCAAGCCTATAGCCAACATCAAACTCAATGGAGAGAAACTTAAATCAATCCCACTGAAATCAGGGACAAGGCAAGGCTGCCCACTCTCTCCACATCT